AAGAGCTCTAATTCACGTCAGAGACTGGAAGCCAAGTGAATACCACAGATAGACAAGCAACATCTGCACTATCTTTCATCATGATTAGAGAATGACCCAGAGCCCTCATCCTAAAAATAATAAAATACAAAATTGCAGAGATGCTGGTTTCAAATTCTTCTCTACCCATCTACTCTCTTAAGTTCCTTCTTCTCCCCATTTTTCCATCTAGCTGAAGATTTAATAATTGGTGTCAAAAGTAAATAGAGAAGTGTCATCTCTCTCAGCTGGAAATACTGAGAACATCCACAATGTCCATCTGTGGTGTTGGACTGGGATTGCCATTAGATTGTTATGCTTTTTGCTATTGTTCATCCCTTGCAGCTCATCCTCATCCCATATCCAAAGAAGAAAGGCAGAGGGAAATCCCAAAGCAAAGGCAGCAGAAATGTCCTCCTGTACACTGGCCACATCTCCAAATATATTACTCTCTCTGCCCTGGTTGTGAGCAGTGGTATGGGGAGCTGGCGGCCCCAAGGGGGCAGGAAGCACATCCTGGTGCCCCACGGTGACATCTTCCTCCTGATCTTGGGATTGGGAACAGTTTATAGCAAAGGGGATTCCAGGAAGCTCACTATTGATGGGGAAAAAAAAATCCAATCTCTTACCCACAGGGTTGTTAAACACTGCAAATAGCTGGGATCCATTCAAGTGGGCTCAGCACTCGTGGCTGCATTTTCCCAGTGTGCTGCCCTTGCCAGGTCAAAGAACAGGCAGCAGAAAGAGGAGTTGGGGTATATCTCCAAGACAGTCCAGCACTGTGGTTTTAGAAAGCCAGAAGGAAAGGAGGAAAGTCCTTATTACGTCTGCTGATGTCGTGGGGAAAAGTGATTCATCAGCAAAAATAATGGGAAGCTGAGCTTGATTTAAGAGATGAGTCTTGCTATTATTCACGAAGAAAAGGGTTAAGGTGCACCCATGAATGAGCAGGCACTGAGTTTTAAGTGACATGTTGAGATATTTGCTGTCATATATCTTTCTTGCTTCCGAAGTAAGATTCCAAACTTATTGTTTCATGAAAAATACCGAATTCTGAAATACATATGGGAGTATACGGAAAATTAAGAGAAAAGGGAGGGGAAAAAATGAAGAAAAAGATCTACTTTACAAGAACAGGTACTGAAAGGACTGAAGTTTCAGTTAGAAACGACAGAAACTGCTTTTAACCGGAGAGCCCTCAACCAGCAGCAGAGGGCGCTGAGATAAATTGATTTATTTCTAACTCCACGGATAATGGGGATTTTCTATGGGGTTGCATAAAGGGGGCATATACTGTTATAAAGGCACACATTGACTTTAGAAAGCTGAAAGCTTGATGAAGATGAAAGCTGTGAGGTAGGAGCTGTGAGGAGGGTCAGGTAGAGTTTCTAAGGAAAAATCCTGGAAAAATCATGTATTAGAATCAAAGAACCACAGAATGGTTTGGGTCAAAGGGGATATTAAAGCCCGACCAGCCCCAACCCCTACTATGGTCTGAGTGCTCCCCAGCAGTTCAGGCTGCCCAGGGTCCATCCGTGGCCTTGGGCACCTCCACAGATGGCAGGCCACAGCTCTGGGCAGCAATGCCAGGGCATCACTGCCCTCTGAGTAAAGAATTTCCTCTTCAAATCTAACCTAAATCTCTCCTCTTTTAGTTCAAAGCCGTCCCCCCTTGTCCTATTGCTATCATAACGCGTGAAAAGTCCCCCTCCTGTTTATAACCTCCCTTGAAGTACTGGAATGAAATATGCAATGAAATACGGATAACTTGTGGAATCAAAAGGGATTTTTTTTATCTTATTTTATTTTTTTTTTTTTTTTCAGTACGAGCATCAACGTTCTCAGCCGAAAAAAAAAAAAGGCTTCGGCCGTTTGGAAATCTCAGCCCCGGGCTGGGAGCGCCCATCAGAGGGCGCCGCAGCTCCGCGCAATGCTGCTCAGTGCGCGCTGCCCGCAGCCGGAGCGGGGAGGGCACCAGGACCGCGTGCGGGGTTCGGCTTGAAGGCGGCCTTTTGTTCGCAGGGATGGCAGAAAGAGTGACAGAATCAAGTGAAATACAGAACTAGACGGCTCGAAGATTCGCCTTATCGATCAGAGCTCCGCGCTCCATGCTGGAGAAGTGAAGGTTTTCACTCCTTACAGTGTTTCCCAAAATGTACCGAGAAATGTCTCTTTTCCTCTTTTCTTGCTTGTTTCTCTTTCCCCCTCCCTCCGATCCCTTTTCTTAAATAGCTTTCGGGGGTCACTTTGGAAGGCCTGGCTCGCATTTCTGAAGCAGAGCTTCGGGAGCAGCACTTCCTAACTGGAACTGCTAAAACAAATGCACTGCTATAGAAATAAAAATAAAAACATAAAAAAATAAAAAAAGGCTGCAAAACAAGCCCCAAAACTGTGTAGAACCCTCATTTCTTTGAATTATTCTTAATGAACGCGTACGCCACGTTTTGCAACTACAAGTGAATGTAAGGACTGTGGGACATGGAAATAAGGATTTCAAGTCTCCACAATTCTGTTAGCAGAGAAGCAGAGGCCGTCATATCCTTTTGAGCTTCTTTTCTTTCACCCCTCCCCCAGCACAGAGAGCATAATTCAGGGTGCCACGAGATGGTGAAGCATTCGCTGTCAGGCGTCACGTTCCCTCTGCCCTGTGCCAGCCTCGCAGGATATGACCCAAAGACTTTAAGAGAAGTGATGGCGCACTGTCCCTTTATGAGCCTGATATTTTTCTAAGAGGGCCATTCGGGTCTGTAGGAGCAAAGAGAGCGCTGTGGGGTGGCTGTGTGGGGATCTCCACATGTCATAGCTCTCTTCTCCTTCCCAGCATTTTTTAGCACTATTGCTTCGGCTGCGCTGCTCTGTCCAACCCACTCAGGGATGTGCTCTTTTCTCCTCCTCCTCTGTGCAGTAGCTGTGCTGAGGGGAAAAAAAATAAAAGGGGAAGAAAGAAAACCTACTCGCATCTGTTTTAATAACTTTGAGCGAGAGCGCTGCCCAGCTCCTGCTGCAATATCTGGCTGTTGTTTGTCTCCTGCCTTTTGCTGGTTGAGTTTGAGGGAAGATGTGAGCTTAGGAACAGTGAGGGGGGCTGCAAAGCGTGGGGGAAAGAGGGGTGAACGTATTTGTCCTGCTTGGATTTGAAGCCAAAGGGAACACAAAGAGACAAGCCCACCCTTCCCATCAGCCAACCAAACGGCACCACAAGTGTCTCCTGATGAAGTTCTCCTCTTTTTCGAGATTACCCATCTATAAAAGCATTCTTAACTTGTAGGACCTCTGAAAGTGCAAAGGACACTGCACTTCCCCCATAGGATCTCGTGCAGAATAACGAAGATTGGTAGGAATCAGGACCTTGAATTTAGAAACACCTTTCTCTCCGTCTTCGCATGTGTCTCTCATGCTGATTCACCCCTCTCTCCCCCTCCTCCTGATGCACCAGCCCACCGCAAAGCCCAATTGTTCCCTTTCCTAGGCAGAGATGGGCTCTGCTCGCCTGCAGAATAAGTCGCCTCTGTGCGGTACGACGTGTTAAAAAAAAAGGACAATGCGAGCGAAGGTTTGCCTGGGGGGGGAAAAAAAAAAAAAGAAAAAGAAAAAGAAAAAAAGAAAGAAAAGAAAAGAAATAAAGGTTACAAATGGTCCAACTCCTCCTCTCCCCTTCCAAACCGAGGGCTGCCATGGAACCGCACAGATCCCAACTCTGCTTTAACCGTTCAGCAGAAAGTAGTTAATCGCTATTGAAATGCGTGCAGAGGAGGGCTTGCGAAACTCTATTTCTTCTCCGTTTTTTTTTTTTTTTTTTTTTTTTTTTTTTTTGCAGGGAAAGTGTTTCCAAGTTCTAAAATAGACAGTCCGAGTCCGAAGTAAAAGGCTTTCAATGGAAAACCATTGATCTAAATGCCTTCCTCTTAGTTTGGCTCGGATGTGGTGGGGAGACGCCGCTTTGGTGCTTTACTGCATAGGAGAGGATGGTTTCTGGACATGTAAATAAAAGCATCTTGCATGCGGGGGAAAGAGTAATATCTCATTGCAAATGATGAACCGCCTGGTGCAGAGACAGCCTGTCCTTTACTTTAGTTTAAAGAGGGTTGAAAAAATGTGCGTTATTTTCTCCATTCTATGTGCCTATCTGTCTGTATATCCATCTATCTATCTATCTATCTATCTATCTATCTATCTATCTATCTTTCTATCTATCTATCTATCTTTCTATCTATCCGTCTGTCCGTCTGCCTGTCTGTCTGTCCATCTTTCTATCTATCCATTAATCTTTCTATCTATCCATCTATCTGTCTGTCTGTCTATCTATCTATCTATCTATCTATCTATCTATCTACCTACCTACCTACCTACCTATCTATGTATCCGTGTATCTATCTGTCCATCCTGCCCTCTATAAAAATAGCGGGTAAATGCACTACATAATATTCATCTTTGATCACTGTATGTTCATGTATATAAGGGTAGGTGTATAAAGGAATACATACATATGCTTTTCTATATAGTCCAGTATAAATGGATCAGGTTTGCACCCCTATATGCATATGTAACGTGTACTATACATGTGCCTATGTAAATCCATTCTCAAGCGAGAATATATATAATTTACATACTTAAATGGGTCACTTTATGTATGTCTGCACATGGGAAAAGTTATATGTTTGGAGATATAAGTGTGTACGTGTGCCTGTGCATGTGTGTGAAACTGCATTTCTGTCTTTATCTGCCTGCACAGAGGTCTCTATATGTGTGTATAAGCAGAGATATAGTCACATATATGTCTGTAGATATATGTAACTATGTAACAGATAATGTTTTTACTATCCGATGGAGGTTTACTTCTGCAGCCTATTGTTTCAGACAACAGATATAAGTTGCGATGGAAGAGGAACGTCGGATTTGGTGTCTGTCCCCCATTTCCAATTATAGATGGATCATTACAGACAGAGAAGTACTGAGAATCCAGACATCTGCTCTTCACATGAATGCACTCACCTCCTAGAGAACAGCCTGCCATCATGCTCTGGAAACTGGTTGAAAATGTCAAGTACGAAGATATCTATGAGGTGAGTATATAATATGCATATGAGTAAGAGAGTATATGTATATTTAAATATACATCTAGCTGCATAGAGGCACACTATATAATACATATATAGCTCTGCATCTGCTTACATTCAGATATAGAGAAGCAGACACCCGTACACACAAATAGAGATGGGAAACAGACAGTAAATGCTTAAATGCTTATTTATTTGCAAATTTGTAGCCGGCATATCAAGTCCTAAACTTTCTTTTTTTTTTTTTTTTCTTTTTTTTTTTTTTTTCTTTCGTGGAAAAGCTGTTTGATGCGATTTAAAACATCAAAGAAACGATCTGAGGGTTGGAATGAGGCAACTTAAAGGCAAGAGTTGGGTTGTTTAGAGCCCGAATTAAATGTAATTCGATTAAATACGGGCAAATGTCGAGAAAGAGGGGAAAAGATGAAATTAGAAGAGAAACGCGATCTGCTATTCTGGGACGGGATGCATTTCTTTCTTTTCTTTTTGTCCTAGTTTCTTAATTTCCGATCCCAATCTAAGCTCTACCTGAATTTGGGTATATAGATAGATTGTCTTTTTCTCGTTTTCACGACCGGATGGCGTTTTTTACGACTCTTTTTACACGCATACACGGGTAGATAAGATGTGCGCGTCCTCATCCACCGGCGCTAATGACGAAGCACACACACATTCTCTCACGTCTTTGGGTACACGCAGCCGAACCGATCCATCCAAAGCGAGCACGGAAAGTTCTGGGCTTGATTTCAGAGACCTCCTCGGGATTTTTTTTTTTGAGGTCCAAAAGCAGAGCGAGGCGGGAGGGGACGGTGTGTGTGTTGGGGGGGAGGAGGATCACAGCAGAGCCAAACGGTTCTTAATTTTGCCCGGATCTTTCCCAAAGCGACTCCGCGAATGCGTTCCTTGTAAGTAAAGCAGCGCGCTGGATCGGCTCCGAAATGGGAACAAGTAATAATAATAATAATAATAATAATAATAATAATTAGATAGAAGGAAAGGTTTGCCGCTTCGTCAATGAATTTTTGTTGTTCTTTTTTATTATTATTTTTATTTTTAATTTGGATTTGGTGATGCTGGTGTTCGTAGGATTGGGGAAGGATTCTCACAGCTGTTGGTTGGGGGTGTTGGAAAGGCTCTGGGCGATACCGTCCGGCCCGGGGAAGCGCCGTCGGGGCCGTTCAGCTGCAACAGCCCCAAAGCGGTCCCGCATCTCTTCGGACTTCCATCGGGAAAGCAGACAGAGATAAAAAGAAAAGAGAAGGGAAAAAAAAAAAATGAAAAAGAAAAAGAAAGAAAGAAAGAAAGAAAGAAAGAAAAACGCGGAGAGGGAGGGCACTGCTCCGACTTTTCACAGCCGGAGTGAGGATGGGAAAGAGCCGCAATATCTCCGGCTTTCCGAGCTGCGTTCAGGCTCGTTATCAACCGGCATCGCAGCTCGGTGGGTGTCCGGGTCTCCCTGCAGCCCCCAGACCCGCCGAGCCTTCCCCGTCCCCAGCACAGCCCGGCCATTGTCTGTGCCGCAGCAGCGGGCGACAAAACGTCTCTTTTCTCGTTCTGCGAGGTGGGGGAATGTCGGGGTTTTTTCTCCCCTCTCTGGTTTTTGGAAGGGGAGATGGAAGCGTCGTGCGTCCCTCCACGGCCGTGAGAGCGGTGGGATGGGGCAGAGCGATCCTAACCCGCCGATGAGCTCCGGGTCATTCCGTAGCGGGCAGCTTTCAAAAGAATATTTTTGTGGGTTGGTTTGAAAAAGGAGGAAGGATTCGTAAAAGAAAAAAAAAAAAAAAAGAAGAAGAAGAAGAAAAAAAGTGTTTCTCCTCCTTCTCCTTTTTCTTTCCGATTTCTAATTGAGAACGCGATTACAGGGGCGTCTCAGGCGCTTAAATGGAATCTGTTCTTAAAACAAAAGTGTGTGTGTGCGTGTAATGGGGATTGGGGGGGCTGCTCTGGGAAGTGTGAGTCTATTTAGGAAGGAACGTAAGTTGAACTTTAACAGAAATGGCAGACAGTCCAGTTGAACGAGTTCCTGCAACATCAAAAAGGTTTTACATCGCCCCCGGCTTTGCCTCGAAACTAGAAATTTACTATCCTTTAAAAATCACTGCATACATTTTACATTCGGGTGAAAATCGGGATAGATGTGTGCATATCTATACGGCGGGTTGGGTTCTTTCTGCGTATCGGGCTGGAGGAGGATTCGGAATTGAAGGGAGCCCAACTTCACCCCGCTGCAGCGTTTATTGGGCTGTTCCGAATGAGCACGGGCGGGAACACGCACCAGAAGGGCTTAATCTCCGCTGTAAATAGATAGATTGGAGTCAGTGAGCATTTCTTCTTGCTTTTTTTTGAAAAATAAAAATAAAAAAGGGGGAGAAAAAAAAAAAAAAAAGAATAAAAAAGAAGCGAAAGGATTAGGAAAGCCTCTTATTTTCCTCGTTATTTGTTAAAAGAAAAGAAAAAAATATCTACAAGAACAAAAGCACCAAAGGCAATCAATTCACCGTATTGGGAATGTATAATTAAACGTAAAAAGGGGGGGTGGAGGGGGGGGGGAAGAAAAAAAAAGAAAAAAGAAATACGTTTTTTTCTTCTTCTTCGCCTCCAGCACTGCTCCATCTCCCTTCCCTGCTCAGTGTCTGCTTTCCACGTCTTCCCCCGCTCGAGTTAATTGAAGTTCTGCCTCTTCCCTGCTAAACTTTTTCCCCCCTCTCCCTCTCCCCAAACTCTGCCCCTGCCAGCCCCCCTCGTCTGATTACATCGAGTAATTCTCCACTGAATGAACGTCATTTACAATAGTAGGGGAGCTCTCGAGCTGGCTGCCAGCTTCACGCTCCATTTGGTCCTGCATTCTCCCTTTAAAGTAGTCGTGTAATATTAATAGTCATGAATATCAATTATTATGAGGCGGCGTAGGGAAGGAAAGGGAGGAAGGGGTAGCGGAGCAGTCTGAGCCCAGCCTTGGGTTGAAGAGGATTGCGTTTGGGAGCTCAAAGGGGGGTGGGGGGGAAAAAAAAGAAGAAAAAAAAAAGAAAAAAGAAAAAAAAAAAAGAAAAGAAAAAAAAGGAAAAAAAAAAAACAAAAAAAAAAAAAACAACAGAGAGGGAGGGGTGAATCCTATATGTAGATCGAGGCTTCCAGGCTCGGTTTTGGGGGCATTGGTTCTTTTTTCTTTTTTTTTTTTTTTCTTTTTTTTTTTTGATGGATAGTCTCCGAAATACCTCAAGCTGTTCTCCTGTGTCCAACACGGCCCTTTGCAGATCTCCTTGATATATATCTATATATATATTTTTTTTCCCTTCCAAATATTAGTGTTATCGCCACACTCTTTGATTTTTAGCTATTACAAGACTTTTTTTATTTCCAGATGTTAGTCCACACCTATTCCGCCATGGTGAGTTTGGATCCATGTTGTACTAGAATTGCATGTTCTTTCTCTCTCTCTCTCTCTCTCTCTCTCGATCTGTTGTCTCCCTCTCTCTCTCCCTCTCTCTCTTTTAAACGCCTTTGGCTTGGTAATTTAGCACAATAATTGGAGGAGGCTTTGCAGCTGCTTCTCCCTTTTTGCATTGTGTGTTCTCCATTTGAGATTGGGGGTGGGGGGCGCTGGTGGAGGGGGGGGGGAGAGCAGGGGAAAAAAAAATTTATCCCCCCCCCCCCGTTATTTTTTTCTTTTTTTTTTTCTTTTTTTTTTTTCTTTTTCTTTTTGAACCCTGTGTGCCATTGCTTGTGGGGCTACGAGCTGCACTTGGTGGAATATCACCTTTTTCTTCGGTACTTTCACCTCGCAGCTTCCAAGCGACGGAGTGGGACAAAAGTCCGCTCCCACCTTTCCTCTGATGCCTTCACACACTTCTTTCCCCCCAACCCCCCCACACCCCAAAAGATTTTACATTACAATTACCCCCCCACCCCACCCCTCATCCCTTCCCTCCCCCCTTTTCCTCCGGAATATAACATTGCAAAAAGAGACAAAAAGACACCGGGAGTTCCTGCAGAAATCGTAGCGGTTGGATTCGTTCAGTACAGATGTTTCACTTTGATTCTGTTTGGTTATTATTAACATTATTACTATTAGACTCTTATCCAAAGGGTCCCTGTGATTATATTATTATTATTATTATTATTATTATTATTATTATTATTATTATTTCCCAACTCTTCTCTCTGACCACTCTTTACCTCGGGCTCCTCCGAGAAGTGCAAACTTTCCCCTTCGGGTCTTTTTTTTTTTTCAATCCCACGTGAAGATGGGTCGCTGATGTCGAGTTGTTGAGTCGCAGGGGCTTCAGGGAAGGAAATAAAAGAGACGTTGGGAAACTTCGGGCAGGACGAGGGGGTGGGTGGTGAGGAGGGGTGGATTTGAGGGCTTTCTCTCTTCTTTAAACTTTTATATCGGGGACCGGTGGAGGGAGAACCGTGTTAGTAAAGCGGAGTCACACATCTTGTACGGAGCATCAGTCCTACATGTTTAGTCAGGACATGAAGCGTCTCTCCCTCTTTCCCCCCTCCCCCTTTGCCCTTCCTGAATTATTCCTGGGCATAGTTTTGGGTACGAAGCGTTGGGAGGCGCAGGGGACGGGGGGACACCGACCAACACCGGTTCACCATGGTTTCACTTTTCCTTTATTTTGTTTTATTTCGGGGTGGGTGATTTACTGCTGGGTTTGCGTTCTTTATATATCTATATATATAAGAAAAAAAAAGAGAGAGAGAGAGAAAAAAAGCGTTCCTCTTTTGTTGTTGTTGTTGTTGTCGTTTCTCTTTCATCCCGCCTGTAGGACCGGCATGATGGAGTGCCCAGCCACAGTTCCAGGCTGTCCCAGCTGGGATCCGTCTCCCAGGGACCCTACTCCAGCGCTCCTCCGCTCTCTCACACCCCGTCCTCGGATTTCCAGCCGCCTTATTTCCCACCCCCCTACCAGCCTCTTCCTTACCACCAAAGCCAGGACCCTTACTCCCATGTCAATGACCCCTACTCCCTAAACCCCTTGCATCAACCCCAGCAGCACCCCTGGGGACAGAGGCAGAGGCAAGAGGTTGGATCAGACACCGGGTCACTGCTGCCACAGCCTCGGGCCGCCCTGCCCCAGCTCTCTGGACTGGACCCCAGGCGGGACTACCACTCGGTACGGCGACCAGATGTCCTGCTGCACTCAGCTCACCATGGCCTTGACTCCGGCATGGGGGACAGCCTTTCCCTGCACGGCATCGGGCACCCGGGGATGGAGGAGGTCCAGGTAAGGCAACGCGCTTCTTCCTCTATGGGCGATGCTTTCCACCTGGGAATGGTTTTGGTGTGGGTTAAAACGCTTTTTTTTTTTTTTTCTTTTTTTTCTTTTTTTTTTTTTTGTTGTTGTTGTTGTTGTTTTGGTATATATATCTACTTTTTTTTATGATATTGCCCCTTCCCTCCCCCAGTTCATTTTTATTTTTTGCTTTTTCCCTTTTGATTTGTGTGTTCGAGGCGAGTTTATTTCATAGCTGTCACGCACGGGCTCTGCTTTGCCAACTGTCTGCTGCAAAGAGCAGAGTGCGTTGGGGCAGGCAGGCTCTGCTCTCTCCACGTGCTTCCAAAGCTGGCAGGGTTGAAGCCTGGCTTTTCAAATCCCAGCTATTTCCCATGCAATCTCAACTCCCCCTCCGCCCCCCACGTTAATTTCCTTCACTCCAGGGACTTTGATGAAACTGTCAAATTACCACTTTACTTTTTTTTTTCCCCTCCATCCGTGAATATCAACAGAACCCAAATCGAGAGGGGTTATCGGGACAGAACCGTCCCCATCCCTCCTTTTTTAAGCACAATTATTAGGGTAGCATTGATTTTACGTAGTTCGGTTCGCTCCTTTGGATGACAAAGGAGTTTCAAGGGAAGGGAAGCGCAGCATTTCCCAGCCTTCCCCCATCCCACGCGAAACTCATCGTCACGTGTTGTTTCCTAAAAACAAAGTGACCCTTAACAGCTTCGGTGCTGGGGCGGTTGGCACCTTGCTGGAACAGGGCACGGCCCCTTGGTGGGGGAAGGGAAGGGGTGGGAGGCTTCAGCCTCCGGCATCGGGCTTCAAAAAAGTCAGGGTTTGGGGGGTTGCCTTTCTTTCTTTCTTCCAAGTTTATCTATCAGAGATACGAAGAAGATACGTGTTAAAACTTGGAATACGCAAAGGAAGGGATGAGGGAACGAGGCGTAGACTGCAAAGTTATAGGCAAGGGGAAAGGAAGGAGAAAAGAAGAGAGGAAGAATAGCAGAAAAGGATCCTAGTGAACATCAGTGGCAGAGAAGCAGAAGGGATATATGGCATCAGCCTAAGGACCGTCTAAGGGCTGCAGAACAAAAAACAAAAAAAACCCCTTGCTTGGCTGGGAATGAGGACTTCATGACCAGGAAGGTTTTATGCTCGGTTCTGCTTCTGCCTCCGAGCTCCATGACCGACGGGTCATTGGTTTCTGCGGGTTTCTAAGCTGGTTTGGGAGACCTGAGGGTAGTCTTGAGCCCCACGGGAGCTGTGTGCAGGTCTCGGCTCGCATTCCTCTACGAATGCAGCAAGAGGCTCTGCTCCCTCTGCCCTTCTCTCGCTCAGCAAGCGAGAGGCTTTAAGTACTGTTTGTGCTTTGATATTTATACCTTCTCCAAATAAAAGCCGGTAATTGTTGGCTCTTGTGAGAAAGAGAGAGAGGGGAAGAAAGGGGGAAAGGAAGGGAGGGAGAGGTAAAAGAAAGAGAAGGAGAAGGGGAGAGAGAGTGAGAGAAAGAAGAAAAAAAAGAAGAGGGATGAAGGGAAGAAAAAGGAAGGAAGACAGGAAGGAAAGAAGGAAGAAAGAGAGAAAAACTTCAGGGAGGGATGGAAAAAGGAGAGAAAGAGAGGGGGAAAAAAAAAAGGAGAGAGAGAGAGAGAGAGAGGGAGAAGCTCTGAAAAGCTCAGATCAGCAGCTTTTCCCCTCTTCCTTAATGAAACATCCCCGCAGCCCTGAGCTCAGCCTGCTGCTGCCGCACAGGGGCTGCTTCCCTGGCTGGGGTAGGGATGGGGAAAGGGGAGAAGCAGCTGTGGCTGCGGGCTGAGCTGTTTGCTCGGGATGCTGAAGGCACCGGGAATGGAAGCGGTCCTTCTTTGTAAAAGTTTGGTGGCAAACTGAGGGAGGAGGGGAAGAGGGAGAGGATATCCCAAGGAGAAGCACGTGAAGGGAGAGGTGTCCAACTGCAAGTTAGAGCAGGCAGAGGGGAAAGCGACCCAGTCCTCTCCTACTGTTCGGCATTTTCTATTCTTGTCCCCCCTCCCTACAGATGAAACCGGGCAATTTTCCACCGAAAATTTTATTACGGATCAGGTTCTGCTCAGGCTATGAGGATTCCCGTTATTATCCAAGAAAGTGTTTCCAGAAATGGTCCCAACCTTTTTTTTTTTTTTTTTTTTTTTTTTTTTTTTTTTGATTTAATGAAGTCCTAAAAGTTGAACTGCCATAAGGTCAGACAGATGAAGACGTGTACCTCTGCTTTAGCTTACGCACCTCTGATTAAATAGATGCCATGGGAAAGGGTTGGGCTGTCAAGGGAGAGAAGAGAGAGGAGGGGAGTGCGTGACAGAGAGAAACAGTGGTTATTATATAAACACCAAATCCAGGCCATGTGTAAGCCATTGTCCAGGGCTAGAATTAAGTGACTGCAATACGATAGCTCTCTGTTATTGTAAACAGGACGTATTGTATTGCTATTGCTGCCCCTTTCGAGAGGAATTCTCAATCTGCCACTGACGGCCAAAGGGAGGGGAGAGCCAAGACCTACTTTTGGAAAACAAATTTGCATTATTTCACAGCGGCGCTGGAAAATGCCACTGCAACTCCAGATGATCCTTATTTCTCTTCACCATTTAGACCAAAGCAGGGCTCTACTAGAAATAGATGGGGCAACGTTGTGCGCAGGGGAAAATCCAGGCTTAAAGGAAAACAGGGTTCTTTAGGATTTCCTCTCAGATATTTCCCTTGCTGTTGGATAAGGTGTAGGTGTATATACATGCCACACGTACATATATATATATATATGGGATATTTATGTATCTATGTGGCATGTATATGTACAGTATGTCTGGCATATATATACGGTATGTGCATATATATGACGTGTGTATTCATGTGGCTTGTCTACATATATATGTGTACTTACATATGGTATAAAGGAAGCTCCATGCTATGGGATTATTGGCAGAGGGGAGGGAAGGCAGTTTTCCTCTCTCAGTTATATCAGGGCCCCCATCACCACCACACACCCCCCCTCAACCACACATCTCCACTTCTCCTCCTCCCCACGCTCACGGCCGTCCCCTCCTGTGTGCCAGCAAGAGGCACGGAAAGTTAAGTTGCACACCAAAAAACACCTAACTCTCTTATAAAGTAACCCCTGGTATCACTTTTAACTAAAGAAGTCTAGTAATTAAAAGTCTGAGTTGTTTTTCCACGTTTCCGCATGCAGTCCTAATTAAATCTTTACGATCCTCTCTGTGACTATTAACTGCCAGCATGCTGAGCGAATATCCTGTACAAAAACCCAGCAGGAGGGCGTAATTAGATAGAAAATCAGACAGGAGTCTTCTCATTAACTACAACAACTAACCCACGTTGCTGATGGAGCGAGCGGAGTGCACGCACGCACATAAAGCGTGTGCACAGACCTATACCCCAGAGATAAGGTGAGAAAAGAGAGGAGGGGGGGAGGAAGGACAGGGAGAGAAGATGGCGTTTCGTATTTACCTCCAGCTCTGCGCCATCGAGTCGCAAGGCGCAGGACTCCGGCAGGCTGCAGGATTTGCTCATCATCCCTCCTCGGCAGCTGCTGAGGGAAAGGAGGGAAGAGTTTGTAATTGTGTGTTGTGCCCTTTAGGTATGCGGGCTATTGATTAGGGGAGAGGCTGAGCCACGCACGGTGTGAGGAACAGCCTTGTGAGCGCGCTTTGGAGCTCACGGTGCAACGAAAGCAGTGGAAAGGTCCATGGGAAAAATTGCTCCATCACCTTTTTTTTTTTTTTTTGAGGGGGGAGATGCGATTTTCTCCTAAATCGTATCAGGGTTGGAAAGTTGGAGACAAGGGCTGAGGTCCGATGAGTTCAGCTTCTCGGTAAAGCCGATATGAAGTCGAAATAACAGGGAAGGGAATCGCCGATCTGTTGAAAAGACGTTTTCCTTGTGGAAAAAATATATGTAGGTGTGTGTGGGAGAAGTTCTTAAGGATGGCATACCTTGAAAATTAAAAGGAGAAATTAAAAAAAAAAAAAAAGAAAAAGAAAAAAAAAGGAAAAAATAAAAAAGGAAAAGGAAAGGAAAAAAAAATCTGGGTAGAAAGAAAAACAACAAATAAACAAATGAGGGAGAAAAAAAAAAAACAAAGAAAAAAAAGCCAAGAAGTTTAAAAAGCACACACAGGTCCTCCTTCCACCTGAAACCCGGAGTTCACCCTAAAGCGGAACCTGTGGCAGCTCCGCAGTGAATTGCCCTCTCCACGCTGCTCTGATGGAGGTGGTTTTGCTGCACCGAGCTCTGATTTGCGTTGGTTTGCAGTCGTGGACCACACCATCAAGCTGAGATAAGCGACCCAATGTGGGCTCTGCCCCTCTTTGTTCTTTCCCCTTCCCGAGCGCCGTAATAACAGGTGTGCTCCGACAGGGACCCAAAAGAGCAACAAATCGTAAAAAGGGATATTTTTTTTGTTTAAGGAGGATCGGGGGGACTTTTTTTCTAGGCAATCAATTTCATAGCTGGTACTTTTGATAAGGCATAACCCCGCTCGGCCCTCCCGGCCCACAAACTGGGAACCCCGGGAGCTGTAAATCCCTTTCTGCTCACACCCTACACGAAGTGGGCGTTGTGCTGCTCTTCAAATCGCCCAGGCTTTAATTAAAAGTCCATAACGCAAACTATTCTATGTAAGAAGTAAATGGCCCTTGAATTATTAAGATGTAGCGGGGTTAAGCAAACAAACAACACGAAAATAGGAGAGGTGGAGGAGGAGGAGGAGGAGGAGGAGGGGGGGGGGGGGGAGGGGAAGAAAGGGGAGGGAGAATTGAAGTTGTCCTTAATCGTGTTCATTTATGCCATGCAATAGATCTTGCAGATGTTGCTAAATTGCCGGATTTTCAAAGGGAGAAATGTAAAGCTTTCTGGCATGCAAAGAAGTCCATGAGATAGCCACGGTTTTATAAGATAACAAAACCAATATTGCGCCCCATATGCTTCACACCTCCTTTTTTTTTCCTTTTCTTTTCTTTTTTTTTTATTAGCCGACTGTATAATTTGTAAGAATTTCATTTCCTTGTCGTTTGGGGGGAATAATAATAACAATAATAGGACTAAAACTCCCTCCTCCCCCAGTGAATTAATATAAATGGAAATAACAGCAACCCCAGTTTGGGATGACATGATTTATGTACGCGGTTCTTTAATATCCAGTCAATTTGAATAGAGATGTTTTTATATCCACAGTCAGTTGAAGATGCCAATAACAGCGGTATGAACTTATTGGACCAGTCTGTCATTAAAAAAGGTATGGATTATTCCAACGAGCTAGACAAACTTTTACAGTGTGGCAATACCCTCGTGATATATATGTGTGTGTATATGTATATATATTTTACTTCGGGACAATGAATGGATCCGGGAAGGAGGAGACAGCAAAATGAAACGCTGATTGGGTCTTTAGATAGAGCGAAGGGGGAAGGGAAGGGAAGGGAAGGGAAGGGAAGGGAAGGGAAGGGAAGGGAAGGGAAGGGAAGGGAAGGGAAGGTCGATCTCCCCCCTTCCTCCAATCACACCCTCAAATGGGGCACCCCATGCTGTCCCTCATCCCCAACAGTCCTCCATGGGGATCGCGTGGCTTTATACGTGGAAGAAAGAGAAGAAATACAACAACGCGGCGGCCGGCGCTGGTGACTCCACTTTTGGGCTCCAATGCATCTCCCAGGCGGGTGGGAGGTGGAAGGGAAAGAAAGCAATGCCTGTGGAAAGCAGTTTTGCCTTCTTTCCCTCCCCCCCAACCTCCCCTTCCCCCTGCCTATTTTTTAAATCTCCCTACATATGCGCACATGATTTAGTGTAACTGCAGAATCACCCCATACTGTTAAAGGGAATGTGATATTAACAAATGTTTGCAGTCTCTCGTACAGCTGTAAGCAAAATAATTAACTAATTAAACTAATTAAATGTAATTACAATAACTCATTTCGGGCGTAATGCAGCTGCTTAATTTTTTTTACATTTCTCTGACAGTCACTGGAAGATGCTTGGCGATTAGTGTTGTGTTATGCTGGTAGACATTAAACAGATCCCACACTGCAAATGTAGGGGAAGCTATCTTTAATTATCTAAGGAGTTTCTATTTCTGGATTCAATTTTAAGTACCAGAGACGAGGCTTAGAAACGCTGGCCCTTATGCTTACGATCAGCAGAGCTTATCTCCGGGACCTTATGATTTGTCAAACCCTCAGTGCAGCTACAAACACTTAGGATCTCGTAGAACCCAAAGCAAAATAATCGGAGTGTTTATAGTGTTTATTTAAAACGCGTTCAGGGCAGCGTGAGGTCCTTCCGTTGTGTTTATTGTTTCTTGTTTCAACCCTCGTGCGCCTTTACCACGAGCTTGCAGTTGGTTGAGGGATGAAAACTCCAAGATCGTTTGCGGCCACCGGTTGGAAACGTCGAAGAGGGAGAGACAAAGAATTCCTTGCTTAAAGGGAAAGGCGTTAGTTCGGCTTCTGTGCTTTTGAGTGGGTGTTGCGGTCAGGATCTGCAACCTGACGGCTCCTGGTGGTGTTTTTCCCCTTCTCCCCTCTCTATTCTCCATCCTCCCCACCCCGCTTTGCTGCCTCATGAGCGATGTTTCCTCGTGGGCGTTGTTTGATTAACTGGTGGTTGATTTGCGGTCGGGAGCCTCCTTTATAACGCTGGGCCGCGCTCGCACTTTCGTTACGCAGCGTTTAAACTTCTCCCATCCTCCCCACGCCCGGCCCCCCCCACCTCCATACCCCTCTCCCATTCAGATCCGGCACGGATTAAGGACAGGATGAGATGTGCCCGTTGTGCCTCGAGCAGCGGAGATGGGCACCGCGCGGTGCCATAGGGAGAGATACGCTGAGTTCTTACCGGCGTTACACGTGCGCTTTGGAAATCAGATTACTCAAAGGCACCGAGATCCATCTCCTGCTGTGCTAAAGTAGTTGCATTTTGTTCCTAATGAATCTCGCCAGCAGAAAGGCACGGTGTGGGTTCGGCTGCGAAGTGGGAGCTGAGTGAAGGGTAACGTTTGGGGCAGGCAGTGGGGAATGGAATCATAGAATCACAGAGTGGCCTGGGTTGCAAAGGACCACAATGATCATCTAGTTTCAACCCCCTGCTATGTGCAGGGTCACCAACCAGCAGACCAGGCTGCCCAGAGCCACATCCAGCCTGGCCTGGGGCCAGAGGAGTGGCACATAGAGGCTTCCATCCGAATTTCACTTTGTTCCCTGTGCTATGAGAGCTACTCTGGAACAAGAACAAGCTATTTAAACTCTGTGAGCGGTTATTGCAGGCGGAGGATGCAAAGAGTTATGGGTTGGAGCACTCCTCGTGTTAAGTATTTACTAAATAAGCAGCAGAGGAGATCTATTTCGCCCAAACGTAGCATGGCTCCTAAAATGCTTTAATTAAACTGTAGTGAAAAGAATACAACGTGAACTCGAAGCATCAAGTTAATTATATCATCCAGGCTGCGCGTGCCTCCTTCTTTATGGACTTTGAGGCCTGCAGAGGGAATTATCTATCCATCAATACAAAGGGATTGCCAAAAATATTAAGGAAATCATAAAGGGATTCATAGGCAGCTATCGATTTATCTCGCGGATCGATCCCGCACGACGGATCCCTCGTACGCGGCCCCTTGTTATGTTTGCTATCTGAGCTTACTTGACATTTCTGAAGTAATTTAGTTAAGAGGAAATGAGTTGTTCCCAGTAGAGAGAGCAAACGAGTGGAGTGAAGGTAGCCAGCGTGATAAATGGCTCTTTCATTTGGAGATCTCCAGAGCTCGTTTAAGGCTAATTTTCTGTATTAGCCCCCTTTGAGCTATTAATGCAATAGGCAGGGACCGTGGCCCCTCATCTCTTAGCTGCCCCATTAGAGCGAGCATTAAGCTCCCAAGCCTGAGCTCTGCTGCGGTGGTGGCGAAATAATGAAAGGTGCTTTTAAAACTCTCCTAATCTAAGCTGGCAGAGGGTGGTTAATACGATTTGAAGGGGGCTGGTCAATGAACAATCAATAAACTAATAATGAGAAGGATTCGGTACATTAACAGTCTCAAACTCCAACGAGACATTAAAAAATCATCGTTCACTCCTAGTCCCATTAAGATTTGGGTGGCGGGAGTGGGAAGGAGGGAGCCGGATAAATCATCGAGATGGTGACAATCATCAAGGGAACGAATACCAGATTTTAACTCAGCCCGAAGAACTTACTGGCTGCAGGTTTGGAGGCCTTTCCCTCCGTTCCCATTGCAACGAAGGGCAGGTTTTCCAAGTGTCGGCTCCCTTCGTCATCTGCTCATCTGAAATTCGCTTGGCACTCTCTATGGCAAAATCAGTCGTCGTCGCTCAAATCCCTGCGTGGCCCTAGCGAGAAGTTAATTTTTAGTGACTCTGGGGCACAGTCAGTGACCTTAACGTTATCCCCATGTATTTATTTACTTTCAGCTATTTCTGAAGCCTGGCCTTACCTTCGCATCAGATTTAGCACGAAGGGCCGTTTTAACCCGAACACCTCTTTCGTTGTCTCCTTGCTGACACGCTCTCTTAACGACATTGTTTTAAGGAGAGATATGAAAGGAGCTCTCTTAACTTTGTTTTTCCCAAATAACTTTGAGTCGAGCAGAGCTCCTCCCCACCCCCCTCTTGAAGTATCCAGCAATAAATGATTAACTGAAAACCACTTCGGACACAGCCTTCCAGATGATAGATCTGGGAATCTGCGCCTTTTCTCGGGCTGCCCATTGAGCCTTGAGATTCCTTTTTAATTTAACGCACAGCAATTTCGGAGGGAATATGTTTCACTTTGAAACGTACTCCGGCATCCAGGTGAAGGGGAGCGTTGAAGAGAAGACAGGAATAAGAGGGAAAGGAACGTTTACACTCTCTGTATTTGCTCATTAAGTCTTAAGTAATGATTGGGTCTTTAGTGGCAGCGGGCAGTCATTGTCCCTCTGTTTGGCGACAAAGGCGGATCCAATCACCAGGAACAACACAGCCTTGCTGCTCTGATGGACTTCTTGCTCACTTCACACCCAGTAGGCAGATTAAAGGGGCTGAGGGCTGTTTGACACCTCTTCAGTAATTAGTTCGCCCGCGCTGTTGGCTAATAAGACATACTAATCGCCATGGATTGTTCCATTAATTGATTGATTGATGCATCGGCGATCATATTATTTTGCAGCGTTACTGCGGCGATGTCCGCAGCTCAGAGCTCCTGCTTCTTTTCTTCTTCTTCTTCTTCTTTTTTTTTCTAGCTATTTCCAGGCCACGATTCTATTTATCCCTTCAGTGGTGCCAAAATGCCCTTTTAGTGCCATTTACGCTCCTGCGTGCGCAATTTCGCGCGTGTGCGGAGCGCAAACCCACAGGAAATCACCACCAGCACAAAATAAATAAATAAAAAATAAAATTAAAAAGAAAAAGAAAAAAAAAAAAAAAAAAAGAAGAAGAACCAACCCCTAAGACTTAATGTATGCACAGAAAATTGTAAACATGTAAAGAACTGAAAGCTTCACGCTGAGTTTCGCCATGCTCCATTTCCCCACCATTTCCTGCTGTCGTTTTAAAGCGATCTCGCTCATCTAGAGATCCCGTTTGCAGGAACAGTATGCTTATAATTACTAACAAATCAAGCGGCTACTGTTGCTCTCCCGCTTTATTGATAAGCTGAAGAGAAATGGAAAGGGAAGGGATGACAAAGAGGGTAGAAATCATCACGGGGTGTGAAGGAGGGAGGGAAGAAATGGAGGAATGGGGAGGAAAACAGATGATTTGAGAAGGAGGAAAGATATGAAAGCGGTCACGCCCGTAATTAAACAGAGTTTTGGAGCGCAGGGACAAGAAGAAGTAAATCAGTGGTTGGGGGGGGGGGGGGGGAATAAATAAATAAAGTTGAAGCGGAGGTGGTGGGGACGCTGTGCAGGAGTTGTGTGTTGCTCTGTCAGCAGGCAAAGCAATCCCTGAGCTACGGGGAGGCTGAAAATCACCTCCCGTTACGGTGCGCATCGGTTTGCACGCCCGCGGGGCTGTGACACGCGCAGTGCACACGCGGACGCGTGTGGCCGTTCTGTTCTCTCTGCCTACAGCCGGAAAGCGACAGCCCACCATAAACATACAGATACGATGTAGATAGCGATAATTCATTCCGTGGCAAACACGGGCTGATTTTTTTTTTTCCCTCTTTTTTTTTTTTTTTTTTTTTTTGGAGGGAGCATTAGGTAATTTACAGAAGATACAGAGCGTAGATAGAGCACATCTCTCTGAAGCTATGAAATCGCGATAGATATGCTTGCACCGCCTGGAAAAAGCTTGTAGAATGGGATGGGTCTTATTAAGGCTCCCAGCTGTGTTCGCGCAATACTTTTAGGGGAGGGGGTGGCACCGCTGGGAGCAAAGGGGCTCAGCAGAACAGGGAAGGAGCCTGACTGCTCACCGACAGCAATTCGCAGGGGAAAATCAACCCCCCGAGCACGTGAAAACCCCTATTTCAGAGGTTAACAAACGTGGGAAGTGGCACGACGGGCGGTGTGGGGTCTCTTGAAAGCGTCGCAGGGGTAAATCTCTCCTTAGTGAGTTTAGACTAAGATCAGATGGCCGCGGAATTGTTGCCTCTTGTTTAATTTCTCAGTTCATTGGACAGTGACCTGATAAAGCGGTCACTAAATATAGCCCCGGTAGAAAGAGGTGAGCCCGAACCACCGAGTCCATGCGTTTGTCCGGAGGAGGAGAGAGAAAAAAGCAAAACAAAACAACAAACAAACCGACAACCAACCAACCAAAACCAGTGATGAAAATCCATTTGGTGTGGCAACGCATGAATCCAACTCTTTTTTCACTTTGTCTTGATGGCGTGCTCGCATGATGCTGCAGAGCACTGCATGTGGCATATACGATTCATCTACATATAACGGGGGGCAAGGCAGAGTCTCTCGCTTTTATTCTCACTACCCCGAAGGAGTCTCTTCCTATAGAATCAACGGCAAAAATCCCATTAAGAGCAAGGAAAGGCCTCTAAGTCTCTTGTAACTGCTACTGCGCCGATCTCCAACTCTTTGCAAACTCCTTTATGAGCTGCATAATGTGCCCAACTAAAAATAATAAATAGGAATCCGTTTCACTTTCCGATTCCCCAAAGTAAAGCCACTCCGAATAATTTGTTTATACGGGGGACTATATAGAAGCAATACGTATATCTGAAATCGACATGCCTCTTGGTTTTTAGCTGTTATAGGGTTTTTATTGTGGGGGTCTGGTCTGGCGGTAGGAAATGATCTGTAATAAAAACAGTGCAATACGGTTGTGTCTATTCCATACGCTGAGGTTATAAAATTGGCAATTGCCCAGTAGTTAGCACTTGGTAATATATTAGGATACCCGATCTTATTGTTTAGCAACTCCAGACGACTTAAATATCCCCTCAACCCTAATGGTTTGATTCTCCAGATATGTCGCAAATAAACAGGGTTTTTATGGCTAATAGCCGGCATATGCGCAGAAATCAGAGCCCTCTGATTTGCCGGATGGGTTTCGCAATTGATTTGAGTGGGAAAACGGCAAGAGGCTGAAGTGGTATCAGCGCTGCCTAAGGATCTGTAATCAATTCAAGCATTCTCCTCCGTGGTCGCGGAATTCTCTCCGCGCATCGCGGTTGCGGCGATCCGCGAGGAAGCAGCAGTAGCAGCTGTCAGCTCTTATTAACTCCTACATAAAACATACCTTAAGTACGGTTTGTTATCAATTACTCGCCGAAATGAAGCAACTGGGAAAAGGAAAGGCGAGGCTCCCTATAAATTAAAGCGATTGGTTGATTGATCAGCGCACCTGCCGTAAATCAGAGCGGTTGCGCGCAATTACGAGCGAGCGGTTGAAGTCCATTGGCAAACAAACGGCGGCCCATTGCTTGTTGCTGTTTGTTTCTGAGCGGCTCTGGATGCCGTTATGGGGATTTGCTGAGTCTGATTTCCTTTGGTCTTAACACAGCTCTCGTTTCTCAGAGCGATGGGGTACGTTGGTCATGGGTAGGATAAAAAGTTTCTATTTTGTTTTGGTTCGCCTTTTTTTCTTTATTATTATTATTAACCTTTCCTAACTTCCTTTCCATAACTTCTAGCCCTCCCTTTGGGGGGCTGGAATTTGATGATCCTTGAGGTCCCTTTCGACCTAACCCAACCTTTTCTATGATGATACATAATACTGCATCTAGACTTCCTTTCAGTAGGAACAGATGAGTTCCCACTGCTTTGAGGACAGCACAACACGGTTCAGTTGGTGCACGTCATGATTAAAACCGAGAATTTATTTTTCCGCTGTTCATCTTTTTCTATTTTTTTTTTATCAGAAGGAAAAGGCTCGTTTTGTTTCATAAACCAGACTTAATAAAAACACAAAGCAATAACAGAGCTGTCTTCTGGTTGCTGTATCCTCCAGCCTCCACACTTATTTAAGGCAGCAACTCCCTCAGTGTAGTGAATTTATTCCTGGCTCGGCTTAGAAGTAATGGGAAACATGAGCGAAAGAAGTAATTCTTTTTCTTTCCCTGCAAAGCGTCAGGTGCTGTCAGCTGTACAAAAACAAGGGGAAGGGGGAAAGGGAGGGGAAGCGAGGGACGAAGAACCCAAAGTTGCCAAATACTTCAGACATGTGTTGTATTTCTCAAGCCTTCACAGAGGCTGTGCTGCATCGCCATCCTTGTTATTATCACATTCCTTGTTATCCTCACTCGGGGGGGCCAAGGGGGGGGGGGAGGGAAACGGCCCCTTTTAGTTTGCTGTAGAGCTGAAAAGTTCCCTTTCGTTTTGCTCTGCTGTGCGTGTTAGAGTGTGTTAACGCTATGCTGTTCGTTTCTTCACCTCCCTTCCTTTTTCTTTCTCCAGTTCCAGTCCCTCCAAAATCCGTTACTTCTTTGATGATGAATAAAGATGGCTTCCTGGGTGGAATTTCGGTCAACACCGGAGAGGTGTTCTGCTCTGTCCCCGGCCGTTTGTCTTTGCTTAGTTCAACTTCCAAGTACAAAGTAACAGTGGGAGAAGTTCAAAGGCGCCTTTCTCCCCCCGAGTGTCTGAACGCATCCCTGCTAGGAGGAGTGCTGAGAAGGTAAGGGGTTGGGGAGGCTGTAAGTGAGGGTAAGGTGGAAATATTCTGCATTCGGGCTCTGAGATTAATGTAGGGGGAGTGCAGCCAAATCAAGCCCAGTGTAGCTTTAATCAGAGCTTCTCGAAATACAGACAGCCAGCAGCTCGGAAAAGCAGTAATTTGGATTTCCATCCGGAGAGGGTTGCTATCGGAATCCTTCGCTGTTGGTGCAAATCACCTCCTAATTGCCCGGTCAGTGCTGCTGAATACCTCTAAGTAGTTAACATTATCGGTCCTTATTAAGTGAGAGGTAGGGAGCGACCTCCAGGCCTGGGTACCAACCCGATGAGTGGGAGATTGCTCAGTCACTAACAAGAATTCAAGCTCCGAAGTCATCGGCTGGATGAACGCGGAGAATGGGCTTTATCTTATGAAAGACTTAATTGCCAGCGTGATTTTCCTGTAGGAAAGCTGAGCTAAGAACATACATCGACGAGAACAGAAAAGACGTTACGATGGAGGTTCTCCCAAGCCAGTGGAAATATGGCAGACTGGGGAATAAGGAGAGACTTCAGGCAGCTCACTGACAAGTATGAATTGGCCCAGAATAAAATTTCAGTTTACGCATGGAAGCTGCAAGTCTTAGAGCAGGGAGGATGTTGCCAACTAGTAGGCAAACACACCGTGTTTGTTTGTTTCCTTGCAATTATTACAACACAATTATTATTAATCGTGTTGAAGTCAGGTGCTCTGTGTCTGGAGAAGGGTACCATGCCCCGCTCCGTGCAGTCACCCTATAACACACGTGGGAATGAGGAGCTCCTAAAATAGCTGCTGTTCCTCATGAATGTCTGTAATCAATGCTCAGCTGCGATCTGTGCCAGGGAGAGGAGCAGAGGTTTGCTTAGAGACGGCAACCCGCCTGCAAATGGAGCAGGAGGACATCGGAGAGATACAGTGTAGAAAATGTAATTATCAAGGTAAAGAAACCTCATTATAGAGCTTCAGTGGATTACCGGAGATGGCCCAAGCCGTAATCATTGGCTACTGCTGACTTCAGTTCCTATCTTGAATCTGAATTTTAGACAAGCTTTGGTTCAGGGGCAGATGAAATATAGGAAGCTGTTCTGCCATGTACCCCTATTTACTCTGATAGCAAATATTGAGAAGTCAGCCTGCTTTCTCTAGCATTGCCGGCTTCCTTTTTGTAAGCGTGACTGCTAAGTCTTCAACGTCTGTTAAATAAGAACCAAGAAGTGCTTGGGATGGTCTGTGGCCTCAGTGCCAAAACTCACTGATATCACAGGTGGAAGGCTTCCACCCCTCGAGCTGTACGTACCTAGGGGTGTGTGAACAATAGCTCCGTGTTTCCCACCTATGGCTCGTTTATCCTTTCAGTGTCCTTATCAGTAACCTCCGACAAATATTCACGTCTTCCTTCAGGCACCCAGATCCCCGTGTAGAACGCGGTGCCTCCGGCTGAGCGTTGCCTCTCCGCACGCGTTCACACGGGCACGAAACCGATCCCGAAGTTTCCTCAGTGCTTTCCTCCCATTCTGCCTGCCCGCAGTTCTCCCTTCGAGCATTTTTTTTTTTCCTCACCTTTTCTTCTTATTATACCCGGACTAAACGATTATTTATTTCTCCTCTATCTTCCTGTCCATCCCCACGCTCCATCCTAACAGAATGCCATACAGTAGGAACTCATTTGTTCTCTACCTCACAATCCTCTGCGGTAATTATTGCTAACCGACATTATTTGATTTCCCTGGGTAAAAGACGAAGAAAAGTGGGCTCATCCCCACTCCCACCCCTGGGAGAAATTAAGCAAATAGCAGCGAACTCGGGCACAAATCAACACACTCAGAGTGCCGAACACAGGATGAAAACCTTTTCAGGGCTCCACTGACTGCACAGACTGAACGTTTCTTCCAGGAGCACCGCGGGGCTTAACGATCATCTCGATTTCTTTGCAATTCTAGAGCCAAATCGAAAAACGGGGGGAGATCTTTGCGAGAAAGGCTAGAAAAAATCGGTTTGAATTTACCAGCCGGCAGGCGTAAGGCTGCAAATGTCACTTTACTCACCTCCCTGGTGGAAGGTAAGCGAGGCTCGCAGCTCCCTTCACACCCCCTCCCACCTCGGGGCTGATATTTCGCGAAGCACAAAAGGCTTTGGGGGATCAGGTGGGAAAGCCTCGAGGAGGTGAAACGCAGGGCGGGTTGGAGGAACGCTTGTCAACGATCCCGTCCCCCAAAATGTCCCCGGAGGGGGGGATTGGTGGCAAGAATGGGCTGTGTTTGTGTGTGTGTGTGTGTGTGTGTGTGTGTGTGTGTGTATGTATGTGTATGCTTGAGCTGGGCAGTCCCGTTCCTCATTGCTATCAATTACCGGGCTGTGCTCCCTGACTCCACCGTCTGCTCCATCCTCCCGCTAATTCCCCCATCCCGAGTTTATTTGTGGTTGAGGCTCATTATTTGTTGACTCTCAGTGAGGGCAAAAAGTATGTTTGGTGAAAGAAATGATCAGTCGAAGACTTCTGGAGCACAGTTTGCCCTATAGTGGGTGGAACAGGACAAGGACTCAAGTAATTCCCAAGGAAGCAAAGAAGGAAGGGAGGGCTGAAGTTTCATCTCAAGTCATAGGATACCCCGAGTTAGAAGGGACCATACGATCATAGAATCCAGCTCTTCATTCAGCTGATGCCATTTTGGTGTTTGGCGTGTTCTCTTTGATTTATTGTTACTGTATGGAAGAGCTATTCTTAAAGCCCCTAATGTTTAGGATATGTGTAAGTTTATGCTAAGGGAAGTTGGACCTTCTCCAAAAAAACCATAACCAGAATAGTGCGGATGCAATTATGAATTGCATGTATCTACCTTACGCATACACCGAGAGGCGTAGGAATAATCCACTTATCTCCTCCACATATGAGCATGCATAAACATTCGTGCTAGATATCAACTTTCCAGCTCTTCTTGGTGGAGTTGTGGCAGCGATAAGCCCTCACTGCATGCAGAGCAGGGGCTGATAGCAGCTCCTCATGGTAGTGCAGGGCTCAGATATAGGCATGGGGGTGCCCATTATAGGGGATGTGCAGCGTTATGGATGCACCCAGGGTGTTGAACCATAGGTGTGAATGCAGCTGTGTGCGAGAAAGTCTGCTCACAGCAAAAGCAAAGCTGGCTTGCAGCCCACGAGGTTACACAGTGATGCGAAACCCCACGTTAAGAGAGTAGGAAGGTGCATGCATCTCTCCCCTGGTTTCCTTACAAATGAAGAGCAGTTTATCTCGTGAGAGCTTCCTTCTTTTGGAATAAGCTGCATCTGATGTAAGGTGAAGTTTGCTTGGTGAGAGCAGCCAGGCTTTGGTGATGCTGTCATTGTGCTCCGGTCAGCATCAATTGTGTGTCACTAGGGGGATGGAGTGGCTGCTGTGGCGACACCTCAGCTGCCCTCACGTTCAATTAAGAGCTTTGTTGATTAGGGAGAAGCTCTGGGAAGCAGAGATGACGTTGGAAGGCAACTCCTGGTCATTAAAAATAACACGGGCCTGGAGTTATTAGACCTATCTGTTTTGTGTGTTGGAAATCTTCCCCTCTGCTCCCTCAGGCAGTGCTTTAAAGGGTTTAACACTTTATTCTGAAGGAGTTGAGCTGTAATCTGATGGAATCCCCTTAGAGTCTGCTATTTCTTTTTAATTACTTTTCCCCCCTCTTCTTTTCTACTTTTTTTCAACTTCTGTCCTCTTCTCGTAGCATCAGGGTGCATCAGAAGGGGTTTGATGACATGAACCTCTCTGTAGGCAAGGAATTAGAAAGCAGGCAGTGGAAATGACAGTTATAATTAGAAGAATTAGTGTTGTTCACAGACAAAATTGCCATCAGTTTATATTCTTCCATAGGTCAAAGAGGACTTCCCACTCCTGGTGATCAGTTAAGAGAGCAGAGTAATGAATTCCATCAAACAAAATAAACTTATTTTCACCATTTTACTGATCTGGCAACAACTGTGATTTAAGTGCCATGTCATCCTGTACAAAATCGACATCAAAATTAGCATTATGTCCACATCTATAAAATGTTGGAGCATGTTCTTCCACAGTATTGAAATAGGAATATTTTTGGTGCTCTAAGGGAAGGTTGAGTCCTTCTGTCTTTCGGGACTTGCTGAGTTTCCCCTTTTTTTGGCCCAGTTCACTTAAATTCGCGTGTGTGTGTGTGTGTGTGTGTGTGTGTGTGTGTGTGTGTATGTGTTCTCTGCCACAATTCCATATGGGATCAGTTGCATGCATGTCTATAAGCCATCCCTCAATACGTTGCTGCAGAGACAGCTGTAAATCTGTACCCAAAACTTCCTATTTCCCCAACATAAGATTTATAGAGGGATAAACTCTGCAGCTTGGCCTTAAGGTGCAGTTGGGTTTCTAAATGTGACCCTAAGAGCTGCTGTCTCCCAGAGAAGCAGCGTGCAGCAGCAAAGCATTACATGAAGCCCTGGTAGCTCGGCCCCAGCCCAGAGGTATTAATGCCCCTCTCATTCCATCCAGGTGAGGCCGTTCATTTAGCCCGGGATTTTGGGTACATCTGTGAAACGGAATTCCCAGCCAAGGCTGTTTCTGAATACCTGAACAGACAGCACACAGACCCCAGCGACCTCCACTCCAGGAAAAACATGCTGCTTGCTACAAAGTGAGTGCCAACATGTCTGTCCCTCCCTTGGAAAAATCTTCCATTACCTTAAACCCTATGACTGAGGTCAATTTAAAGGCAGAGAGAGCCTCCAGTCCCCAAATTATAGGAGCCTCAGGGGGAGGAAGGGGTGCCCACATCATCCTGTCGGTAAGGTAGCTCTTATTGTCTGTGTGTCACTCTGCAGTGGGACAGTGTTTTCCTTATGGAAGATGCATGGGCCTGATCCCTGCATCTACAGTGTGTTTTTTTTCATGCCATCCTCAATCCAAAAACCACCATGAGAAGGCAACAACCAAAAAGTGGGTTACTTCTACACCGTGGTCTGTCTCTCCTGCTGCTCATGCACACCTGTCAGCCTGCTACTAAATTGCAATGTCTAATCCAGATGGTTTAATTAAGAAAAAAAAAAAAAAAGGGTAAAAAAGAAGAAAGCAAGGTTGGAAAGCCCAACAAAAACATTGCGCACTGATAATCGCCCTCACTTTTTGTCCCCTCGACCCGTTTCTCTCCATGGGGACTCTGTTGGTGGTGTTGTATGGGATGACTTGCACCCAGCTGCATCTCCTAACTGAGTGCTCCGGTCCTCAGTGGTGGTGCTGTGTTTCTATCTCTTTTGTTGGGGTGAGGAAAAGGAAAAATAAGGTAAAAGAACAGCCGAAGGAGCTCTCATTTATTTCATGCTCTGGGACGTGGCTTGCCTCCGATGACAGCGTAATTTAAAGAAATATATGGAGGGTTGAAAAATCATTTGCTCAAATTTGTCCAGATGTTTTTTAGACGTGATTGGAATTTGATTGCCCTTTTCCGCAGGGTCAGAAGATATTAATGTCCCAGAACTTTAATTGCTCGCAGACCCTGCTCTGCTCTTTGAAGATGTAAAATGTTGCACTCATTACTGTTTGTTCTCCAAATTCAAAGTTTCCTCTCTTGCACTTTCTTAATGGATAATACACATAGAAGTAGACCTTTATCTTTCTCCACCCTCTGAAACCTTTAACCCACCGGGAATTTCAGGCGATGAGAGCTGAACTCCTTTCTTAAGTGTTTCTTTTTCATTTTTTTTTCCTTTTATGTATTTTTTTTTTCCCTGTGCTCTTTTTCTTTTTTTTTTTTTTTCTTTCTTTTTTTTTTTTCCCCTCAGTCCCTGGGTAGGCATCTACTCAAAGAAATTATCCCATTGGGACCCCCTCCCCCCCAGCTCCCACTTTCTTACATGGCCTTGGTACCTGTTGACATGAAGGCCTTCTGGACTAGAAAGACAGTGAAAAATAAAGAAGGGGGAAATCATATAAATAGTAATAATCAAATCTGATTTTCAGAAGTGTGGAAAAAGTCATCAAGGGCCACAAGTTTCCTCTGATGCTTCAATTGGTCTTTGTCTCCTCAGAACAAAATAGGAAGTGCTGGTTTTGATAAGCCAGAATGGAGCTCTAGAATCCAGAACTTTCTCAACAAGTTTGTGGGGCCCAAGCAGTCTCAAAAAAGATTCCATTTAGTCCATTTACAACATCCTCAGCAGCACACGGATGTGATTTTTCTCCAGAAATGACACTTGAGATTTGCTTTGGTCCAGATGGGTGGTTGGCAGATGCATGGTGCATCTCCTACTCAGCTTAGTCATTTTTGGGTGCTCCAAGCAGGGTTGGGTTTTCTCAGTGCTTTGGGGATGTCCTTGTGATTGCAGGATATATTTGTATCTCTGGACCTTCTTTCAATCCTGCAATTGCAGAAATGTGTTTCCTGAAGAGCATCACCCTAGTTGTGGATCCTAAGCATCAGTTGGACTTGATGATCTTGAAGGTTCATTCCAACCTAGGCAATTCTATGATTCTGTGATCATCCTAGGATGATTCTCAAGCACTGGGAGAATCATAGAACGGTTTGAGTTGGAAGGGACCCTTGAAGTCTATCTGTCCCATTTCCCTGCAGTGAGAAGGGACACCCACAGCTCCATCAGCACCCATCCAGCCTGACCTTGGGTGTCCTGCAGGGATGGGGCAACTACCACTTGTCTGCACAACTTGTGCCAGTGCCTCACCACCCCAATTTCAGAGTCACATGGTTCTATGGAAATCCTAAAGGGCAAAAATATTCCATCCTATGGTCTGGGATCAGCTTTTGGTTGAACATGCTCCTTCCTTCAACCTTGGTTGTCTCAGAGAACCGTGTTAAGTGTGAGATGAGTCTAACCTCCTCTTTTCTCCCCCTTTCTCTCCTTTTTTTTTTTTTTTTTTTCCCCTCTTTCTTACCTTTCTCTCTTCTATTCAGGCAACTTTGTAAAGAATTTACAGATCTCTTGGCCCAGGACAGGACACCCATTGGAAACAGTCGACCCACCCCTATTTTGGAACCAGGCATTCAGAGCTGCTTGACTCACTTCAGTCTCATCACTCACGGCTTTGGGGCTCCCGCTATCTGCGCCGCCCTCACGGCCCTCCAAAACTACCTGACTGAAGCTCTCAAAGGCATGGACAAGATGTTCTTGAACAACAACACTGCTAACAGGCACACATCTGGCGAAGGACCAGGTAGTAAAACCGGAGACAAGGAAGAGAAACACAGAAAATGAGAGGAGAAAAAAAAAAAAAAAAAAAAAAAAAAAAAAAAAAAAAAAAAAAAAAA